AAAGAAACCTGAAGGGAAAATGCAAACTGAAAAAAAAAAAACCCACCCAAATAAACCCAAAACCCCCACACCAAACCGAACGATGAGCTCCAATTGGGGAAGAGGGAACATTTTGCTCTTGTTGATGTTTATTTTATTCATGGGGTTGGGCTGCACTCGTCTTGTGCTCAGGGAATCACTGTTATTGGGGCTCAGGGGACTGTATACAGCGCTGGTGACTGAATTGAGGTTGGATGCAAGCGAGGCAAGCGCCCTGCTGGATGGACTGCATCTCTCTGGCCTAAGATGAACCATTTTTTTGAGGTGGTTGGGTTGGTAGTGATGGTTGTACAAACTATGTGAAAATGCTTCATGCCATGACCTTGGCACTTCGAAGTGGTTAAAGGCACAAATTTCCACTCTGAAAAGAAATATGGCGGCCGCATGGGAGCCTTGTGGAGAGCAGGTATGAACCGGGGGTGTGGGGGCGACTAAAACCCCATGGGAAGGGGGGCGTTCCGGCCCATCCTTCACGCCCTACCGAGGTCACCAGTTGCCCCCCACGAGAGGCTCTCCGGCACGGCCACGACTCCAGAGCACAGAAACCAATCTCTTAATTATCTGACTTTCAGTAGAAATACTTCCAAGGTTAATAAGTAAAATAGCAGAAATCCAAAACATTTAATTCTTGAACCCAGCTGTAGAAAGCAAATCATTTCACAACGCTTTTTCAGCATGCCTGATTTGGGTGGGGGGTTAAACTCTAAATAATAATGGTGCATCTTTTATCGAAACAATGAATCTAGTCAAAGTAGATAGAGTGTTAACTAGAATTCATCTGCCTCACAGGCATTGGGAGGGGCGGGAGGTGGGGTTTTATTGGGGTTCTTTGAGGTAAAAAATAAGTATTGGTAAAGGGAAATGTGTTCGATATTTACATGACTGAGACCTAAACCTGAAAGCTTTGTAACTTTTCCCACAGTGATTCAATAAATAAATAAATTATAAAAAAAAGGCACAAATTTTGTGTCATGTTTATTTTATCACAGGTCAATTAAATACTCTAATAACTTAACATAACAGCTTTTGTACCGCCCCCCACTGGATTGTCTAAAGAATGCAAGTCCAATGATGACACAAGAGAAAAATACAGAAAAAGGAACGCCCCTACCCCCCACCAGCCCCCCCCCCCAACACCAGCCACATGTGCTCTCACCACCACCAGGAACTGAGTTTCCCAGCTATGAACTTAGCCCCAGGCTTCTTTCTACCCTCAGTCTCAGACTCAAAATTTTCTCTCCTAATGAAACTGCAATTTTGTTCTCACACCCTGAAAGCATTTTTCCTTCTTGAAATACCACCAACAGTTCCTGTTATCTGCAGGAGTATTGTTCTCAGGTTATTTATTCATTCAACAAATATTTAATGGGCATCTGTTTTTAAGTTCAATGCTCATCTTCCTACAAAATTAAAGAAGGTCACAGTGAAAGTCAAAGACCATATATGGCCTTGAAGTTCCAGTAACCTGCCAGAGTTTCTGCTTCCCCAGGTAGCCACTTTCCTCTGCTATGCCAATTCCTGATGTGTTTTAGGTAATGGGCAACTCGGCTTATGCCCCTCTAAATTTTACAGTACACCTTTCACTCTTTTCTTCCCCATTTTCATTGAGGTATCATGATTTACAATACTGTTAATGAGGGACCAGAGATACAGTACAGAGGGGAAGATGCTTCCCTTGCACATGGCTGACCTGGGTTGGATTCCTGGTATCCCATATGGTCCCCTGATTACCGCCAGGAGTGCAGATGTGCCCGAATTTCAGATCCCCGGTTGTGGAGAGACTCAGTCCACACACAATAATGCAAAAGCAAAGGAACTTAATTACTAGCTTGAGCCAGCACTAGCTCGAGCTAGGGTCCAAGTCTCATCCAACACAGTGGAGTCTTGACAAGGACCCCGACTCCAAATCACAAGCGGTTTATGTGGGGTTCAGAGTTAAGAAGCAATTTAGATACGCCTATTTTAGCTATTACAACAGTGGTTAGCAATTAGACAATGGTTAGTAAGTTTTTTTTTTCTTTTGGGGTCATACCCGGCGATGCACAGGGGTTACTCCTGGTTCTGCACTCAGGAATTACCCCTGGCGGTGCTCAGGGGACCATATGGGATGCTGGGAATCGAACCCGGGTCGCCACCTGCAAGGCAAACGCCCTACCTGCTGTGCTATTGCTCTAGCCCCATGGTTAGTAAGTTTCTTAGAAACTTAGTAAGTTTCTTAGAAACTTACTAAGAGGAGGGTACAGTGACCCCTCATGACTGGCCAGACCCAACTGCCCAATTCCTTATCTAGGCACATTACTCTGCTGGGATTTTACCAGAAACTGCAGTTCTGCTTCAGGGAAACAGAAACTGAGGCCTACCCGAGACTTACCGTTGGCTGCAGCTTCTCATGGCATCAGTTTCGCCCTCGCACAGAGCCGGGAGTAAACCCTGAGCATCACTGGGTGTGGCACAAGAACAAACGAAAATACAGTTAATGGTAGTTTCATGCTGACCTCCCCTGCCCAGAGCCAAGGCCACGCCCTTCTCCCTGCCCCCCCACTCCCCACCCTGTCCCCCTGGTAGCATATTTTTGGCCCATTCTAGATAATTCTAGATTTCGAGGGATGTTTCAACATCTCTGGATTTGAACTTGTCTTTCTGGAAAATGGATGCTGTGGCCAGTGGCAGCGACCTGACCTGGGGCTGGGGTGGCTGATGAAGGACCGAGGATGCCATCCTGTTTTCCGGGGACCAGCCTGCCCAGTGGAGGGAGGTGTTGGGGACTTGCCACACACCCAGGGCCCTTGAGGTCTACTGGAGGATGTGTGGGCGAATCTGTCCATGAAAATGATAAATATATAAGCAAAAGGAGGAGGACAGGCCAGAGAGATCATGTGACAGGCCAGATGCTTCCCTTGCCAGCAGCCCCCATCTGGGGTTTGATTGCTGGCGTTGACGCTGAAAGACAGGAACCGTCGTCTGTCCTCATCCATGCTGCTGTTTGTCCGTCTTTCCTCTCATGCTGGCCCTCTGTGCACTGAGGAGTTGGGTGGGTGGCTCTGTTATTTACCGTCTGGTAATTAAAGTTTATCTTTTCTCAAGCTAATCTCACCTGTATCCATTGATTCTTTGCAGTCTCTGACGAGACGGCCTAGGCGGCTGCAGATCTAATATCTGTTGCTAGTGATTAGGCGTGTGAGGAGCCGCCAGGAACCGAGCAGAGCAGGCAGACACGGGGAACTGCTCCGTGCGTCTCTGCCTGGCCCTCAATGCCTGCCTCCTGCCCTGCACTGGCCACATTCTGACTTCTGAGGGATACAGAGGCAGTGGGTTCAGGGTGGGGCAGAGGTGCTGTTTTTGTCTTTTTGTTTATGTTTCTGGGTCCCATCCAGCAGTGCTCAGGGCTTACTCCTGGCTCTGTGCTCAGGGACCACTTCTGGCTGGACATGGGGGCCATATGAGGTGCTGGGGATGGAACTCGGTCAACTGCGTGCAAAGAAAGCACCTTACCCACCTGATGGCCTCTCTGGCCTGACCTCCTTTTATCTATTACAGTTTCATTGACATCACATTCCAAGAGAAGATATAGAAGTTCCAGGCGGGCAGCACGGAGACCAACAATGTCCTAAGCGACCAACTGTCCCATCCCTCCCCTGCGTGTCCCCTCTGTCTAGATTCCACAGTAAGGTCTTCCCTCTGCAGCTTGAGGCCCGGCAGCTACCTTCTGGGGGCACCACACCCACGCGGGCATCTCAATGCAGGCAGGAAGGCAGTGCTAGTTTCTAGCCGGCTTTGCCTGCCCTCACCTTGGGAGGTACTGCATCTACCTGGTGAATGAGGCAGGAGAAACACCTTCCTGAGCTCCCCCCATGCACAGCCTGAGGCCAATCCCAGCACTGGATATTTAGATGCCATTTGGGTTTCAGAGGGGGTTGCCCAAAAGCCAAGGCATTGACCAGTTTTATGATGACCCAGAGTGTCACCCAGGGCTGGTGGGGAGGGGGGATAGGAGTGGCATCCTGGCTTGGGAGAACTCTGAGTTATGTGTGGGGGTTCATGTCATGGGGCTCTGAGTGGTCGGAGTTCAGATTCCGGGTGAGTCCTTATTGCTGGGTATGCCTGTGAGGGTGGCCTGGATGGGATCAGCACGGAACAGAGTGACAGCACTGAGACCCAGGTTCTCCCAAAGGGGCAGGCACTGCCCAACGCAGACTGCCAGAGGAGAGGAGACTGGGTCCCAGCACAGCAGCTGGCCGGAAGCCATGCATGTGTCCCCGATGCCCTTTGCCCATGCCCCGGGGACTTGCACCCTCCATGCCCCTGGCTCTTGGGCCCCCACGCTTGAACGGCAGCTCTTGCCCTTGGTTCTCCTTGTGCCCAGGCCTCTGACGATGCTGGGTCTCTGGGTGGGCGCCAGAGCAACCTTCCCAGCCCCACAAGCACACACGCACTTGTTTCTCCTAGTGAACCAGGTGTCAGAATGATTATACGATTGCCTCAAAATTAATGATATGGGTGAGAGTACACCTCTCCAGCTCCTGAAGAGATGCTGGCCATGCCCACACTTTCAGGGAAACCATGGGAAGACTGGACCCAGGAGACACTCACTCCCACACTGTGGACCTCACTGACCATGGGCCATGCCTTCTCTCCGGCACGTGCCAGACACCACGAGCCACTAACCACCCTCTTCCCACCAAGCCTAGGCTTCAACTCAGAATCATTCATAACAATGGTTTCTCACTGGAAGTGTTTCCCATTGAGGAGGTCACGTCTGACATCCTCCTCACATGTGGATTGTCTCTGTGTCCTCTGGGAGCACATCCAGATTCTGATGTCTGGACCATTTCAGGACGGAAGCCCCTCGGGGCCAGCCCTGCAAAGCCAATCCTGGACGATGCCGGGCTGTCCCAGGTCCACCCACTCCTGCCCCCAGAGCTGAGATACATCAGGCAGAGGCCGGGTTTGACAACAGGCATTTATTTGGAGGTGCAGAGGCCTGGATGCCGAATCTAAACACCAGCATCCAGAATGAAGGTCCTCTGCGGCCCTGGGCCAGCTGAAGACTGCGTGGACTGGAGCGGGACTGGAACTCAGCCTGCAAGTTCCGGCCTCCATTCCCCTCTGAGAAATTTGTCAGGGGCTAGGGATTTGCTCGCGGAGGCTGGCATCCATCCACCCGTGCCAAGACAGCTGGGTTTTCCTAGACAGGGGCTTCCCGGCCACTTCCAGAAGACTTGCAGGGTGGGGGCCGGGGCTTCTCTCCTCAAGACCGAAAGGTTGTGGGGTCAGACAGATGAGCAAAGGCTTGTTTTAAACACGCAATGAGACTCGAGTGCCCGGCTTCAGTGTACGCCCCCATGCCAGGAAATCTTGGGGTCCTGGCGGCACACCGTTTAGACAACCCTGTTCTTGGCATAGTTCTCCAGAGCCAGGGAGGGGCCTGGCTCTGACCTCCCGGCTGTCTTGTTGTTGGTGACCCCAGCGTCTGTGTTCTCCTTGGGGGGCTGCACCTTGCACCTTCTGGCAAATGCCTGGCTGATTTCAGTCTGGGTTCTGTTCTTGGTTTCGGGCAGGACGAAAAAGAAATAGATGGCGCCTGCAAGGCAGATGGTGGCGAAGACCAGAAAGCAGTAGGTGCCCAGACTTTGCTGTGGAAAGGCAGAGAGAAGAGTTAGACACAGACCGAAGGGGCTCGGAAACTGTCTCCTTCCTCTCTCCATGTTTCTGGCTAAAACTTCACATGGGCGGTGGGATCGCTACAAAACAGCGACTCATGGAAGCCTGCGCAGAATATGGTCCGCGAGCACAAAGAGGTCTCTCAACCCTCGCCAAGAGGAGGACCTCAGTCTTCATTAAAAAAAAAAAGAAAAAACTGACACGGGTGGTGGAGCGATAGTATAGCAGGTGCAGCATCTGCCTTGCACGCACCAACCCGGGTTGATCCCTGACATCCCAGAGGGTCCCCAAGTACTGCCAGGAGTGATTCCTGAGTCCAGAGCCAGGAGTGATCCCTGACCATCACCAGTTGTGACTCAAAAACCCAAATAAATGAACTATTGGGGGTGTGCCGGAGGGGGGTGGGTAAGACCCCTCTCTGTCCCAAGGGACCCAGTCCCCACAGCCAAAAACCTCCAGAATTCACCCACCACCATGCTCACAGCGGCTTTCCACACGCTTGGGCCGAGTCTCACCCGCAAGTGAAACTATACCTTACCTTATACAACTCTTATCTTACACCACCCATACTCCAAGAGTACCATCCCACATTTGATGAGGTTTAAAGTAAGAAGCAACCAATCTTAGAGGGAAATAGATTTTTTTTACAGATATATTTATAAGCACACAAGGCTCAATCTTTAACATGTTAGTGATCTCTTAGAGAAGGGCTTAATAGCCCTACAACAATCTTCACACTCTTTCCTCTAAGGAAACAACTACAACTTCTTTGTAGCATTTTCAGTGACTTTTCATAACAAACAATACAAAATAAATTATTTCGGATTTGTTTTGGGGCAGGGGTCAGGGTTCAGGATGGAAACATCTGAAATACTGTGATGGGAAGGTGTAATGGTGATGAGATTGGTGTTCAAATATTAAATGTAATCAAATATTGTGAACTACTTTCACTGTCCACTGTCACTGTCCTCCCGTTGTTCATCGATTTTCTCGAGTGGGCCCAGTAACATCTCCATTGTGAGACTTATTATTACTGTGTTTGGCATATCGAGTACGTCACGGGGGGCTTGCCAGGCTCTGCCGTGCGGGCGAGATCCTCTCGGTAGCCTGCCGGGCTCTCCGAGAGGGGCGGAGGAATCAAACTCGGGTCAGCCATGTTGGCTGCGTGCAAGGCAGACGCCCTACCCGCTGTGCTATGAAATAAAAAATAAATTAAAAAACAAACAAACAAAAACTTGGCGTTTGAAGTCTACTAATCAGTCCGCCTGAAACTTAAAACAAGGCAAAAGGAAACAAAATCAACAAACTCTTAGATTATGAAAATAGAATGGTGGTGGCCAGAGGGAAGGAGGTGGGGCGGTGGTCAGTCAGAGGGTGGGAGCAGACTCCTGCAGGCTGGGGCCGCGATGCGCAGTGTTGTCAGGACACTGCGTGGCTGGAACGGATGATGTCATAAACTGACATCGCTCCTGTAAGAAACATGAGTCACCCCGAAAGCAGAGCAGGCTGAGCTTGTGCTTATGTTCACTATGGGGTGATCCCTGGGGCCAGAGCCGGGAGTAAGCGCCAAGCACTGCCAGGTGTGCCCCCACAAAAGAAAAAATTTAACTGAGCAACTACTGTGAGCCCAGCAGCAGCCCGCCCCTCCCCCAGCCTACTCTGGAGCAAAACGCTCTGCTTCAGAGGGGAAAACCAGCACTTTGGTGCAGCCAGGGAGCACTATTCTTCCCGATTGCCACAGAGGTGCCTCACTTACTGATATTCTGACTCAGCCCATGCAGATTAGAGGGACGGCAGAGGAGAATGTTGGCGTCACCCCCCTTGTCTTGGGATTCCCGACCACAGCCAGTGCTGGCTGCCCAGCTCTGTCCTGCCGACCTCCCAGACCCTGAGCTTCTCAGTGACTCAGTGCACACCCTGGTGAGATGCTGCTGGGCTTGCAGTAGTTGCTCAGTTAAGTTTTTTCTTTTGTGGGGGCACATCTGGCAGAGGTCGGGGCTTCCTCCTTGCTCTGACATCAGGAATCACTCCTGGTGGTCTCAGGGAACCCTATATGATACCGGGGATGGAGATGCTGCACCCCCACCTCTGCAGTGCCCCCTTCAGCTCTGGGACCCTGGAGCCTGGCAGTGCCAACTTCCGTGCCCTGGAACCCTGCTGGGCACACAGTGCCCCCCGCCCCCAGAGCTTGTGAGTGAGCTTTGGTGTCTTCTCTAGCCACACAGACAGTGGGGGCATTGCGCTCCCCACTGACCTTCTCCTGTTACTGCCACCGTTGGGACAGGGACCCCCATTGTTCTCATTAGCCATGGGCCCCTTCAACGGTGGTTCTGATGCTGCTAAGAACCTGCTTTGGGCCTGTTATATGCTGCCTAAAGGTGCCTATATAGGTGCCCCCCAGCACCTAACATGGTGACAAACATTTGCAGAAATGAGAGGCTGGGGCTGGGGCTGGGGTGCATGCGCACATCCTTGACCTGAGTCTGATCCCAAGGACCACATGCTACCCCCCACTCAGGCCCCCACCACGGGGCACAAGCATTGAGTCACCCGGCCTCACTGCTGGGCCAGGTATCACCAGGAGCTCTGCTTGGGGAGCCGCCCCCCAAAACCCATCTCAGTGGGTTGGTGGGAAGCTAGGCTTGCTAGCCTCCCTCGGTGTTGGGAAGCCCCATGCCATTTAGGGGAGCTCCTGGAAGTGTCAGAGGGGATATGATCGATGATCACCTCAGACTGAAGCACCCTCTCTCCCAGCCTCAGGCACTGGTGGAAGCATCTGGTTGGGCAGGGGCCGGTCTCGGGGCGTCACCCCGTCTGAGGCTGAGTCCCAGACCCCAGGTGCGGTACCTGGATGAAGGGGAAGAGCAGCCCCACGGCGCAGTTGGAGAGCCAGTTGACAGTGCCTGCCACCAGGAAGGCGGCCGGCCGCTGGGATTGCTGGAAGAACTCTCCGGTGAGGATGAACGGGATGCCACCTGCGAGCAAAGGGGTGGGGCTGAGCCCTGAGGTGTCCCCCCAGCCCACGTCACGCAGAGCTGGGTGCCATAAACACACGGTGTCTGAGCACGCAGGCAGTGACCGTCACCCTGAGAGGGGCCTTGGGCACCCGCTGCTAAGAACCTGCTTTGGGCCTGTTATATGCTGCCTAAAGGTACCCATATAGGTGCCTCCCAGCACCTAACATGGTAACAAACATTTGCAGAAATCAGAGGCTGGGGCTGGGGTTGGGTGTGTGCGCGCATGGGTCAGCCATGGGGGGTACACGAAGACCCTCAGCCTGAGCAGGGGACGGCCCGGTGGCCCCCTGCCCTCGGCCTCCCTGGCACTGTGTATGTCCCTTTGGCTGCGGCTGATCTCCCGCCCTGGCACGGCCTTGTGCCAAGGAGCAGAACAGGCGCCTGCATCTCCCTGCTGCACCCCAGACCAGGGGGCTCTGGAGAAGCTGGCGAGTCGAGGAGCAGCCCTGAACTATTCTGAGTGTATGCAGGAGAGCACTAGGCGTCTGCGTATGAGTGATTGCTGGTGCCTCTGAGGAGGGTGCGTATGCGCTCGAGTGGGCACGAGTGTGAGTGGGTGCGAATGATTATGTGTAGCTAGGAGCGATTGTGAGTGGATATGAATGAATATTAATGGTTATGCATGGGGACGAGTATGAGTGGGTAGGAACGTGAGTGGATATAAATGATCATGAGTAGATGTGAGTGAATCTGAGTGGGTGGGAATGGTTATGAAAAGCTATAAATGATCATGAGTTGATATAGTGAATATCAGAGAGCCTGAGTGGGCATGAACGGTCATGGGAGGGTGTAAACGATCGTGAGTTGATATGTGTGGGTGTGAATGATTGTGAGTGGGTGTGAGTGAGTGTGAGCCTTTCCCCCCCATGGCTCCTAAGTCACCCGGGGAACCGGCATCAGTGCTGTGGGGGGTTTCGGGAGGGAGAAGCCCTCACAGCCAAGTGGATAGCAGAGCTGTGTGCCTGCTGGTGTGATCTAGAAGGTTCTCTGATGCGGAGTGGAGTCTGGGTGGACAGAGGAGCCTGGGGCAGGCAGGGGCTCTGGTTCTGAGCAGTAGCTGAGAATGGAGGGAAAGATGGGGAACCGTTTGCAGGAGAGCTTTCCCTGCCTCTCACTCCTTAGCAACCATCTCCTGGCTCTCGCTGGCATTTGCTTGGGCTTAATCATGCAACTTCGAAGAACTGTGCAGTGACTCTCCTCACCCTCCCCGCCCCCGGCCAATTAGGGTGGGTGACAGTGGGGTTTCTTTTATTGGACTCTTATGTCTCCAGGCTGGAGCTTCTGGGGGAGTGCCATGGTGTCCTTGAATAATTCCAGGAGCAAATGGGCCACCTGAGGCCAGATGAGCCCTGGGAATTCTGATTAGGAACGAGCCTCAGCCAACACAAGCGAGTGCAGACAATGATTTAGCGGGGAGAGAAGCCCCTTGGGCGGATGCACAGTACTCCTTTGGAGGGCTTCACCCCTTCTAAGTCTCCTGCTGAGCTGGGTCAGGAACTGGCGTTTCAGCCAAGACAGACCCAGGGGCGGGAGGAAGTGTCTGCGCACACCCGCGTTCTTCCTTCTGGGGAGAGCAGGCGGGAGCTTTGAGAGGAGCCACGGGGAGCGGTGGGAGGTGGGGAAGGGGGAGCGGTGGGAGGTGGGGAAGGTGGTCGGCTGGAGGTCTCGCCCTCTTGAACCAGGACACTTGCCTAATCACTCAGTGCCCAGAACGCTACTGGGCTCCGTGTCTGACTTATGCCTAGCACTGGGGCAGAGCTGGGAAGCAGCCCAGGGCTAGCTAGGTCCTGAAACCCTGCACATCCCCCAGCAATCGGCTCAAGACTCTGAACGCAGAAGCAGAGAGTGGTCCATGTGTGTGTGTGGGGGGGGGGGGTCCATCGCATCCCTCTGTCTCCTCCTGCAGCCCTGAGCCCATCTGGCTGCCCCAGCCCTGCTGGTGGGCTTTTCTCCTGACCCGGAGGCTGGAGGCTGGATCCCTCCCCGGGACTGTGGGGTGCAGCTTGCAGCAAGGATGGCTCTGCACTCTGATGGCTACTCCTGGTGGGGTCCAGAATTCTTCAGGGGGTCCCGCCCCATTGCCCACAACAGGAGCTGGGTTATGGCACCCCCCGCTTCTCAGGGTCCTGCTGGAGGAATTGCTCTCCTGGAACCTCATCCCAGACTCTTTCTGGGGAAAACCACCTCTAAGCTTCACAAGGCCCTGCTGGGCCTGGGACTGATAGTTTCCTCAGCTGGACGGAGCGGAGACCCACTTACTCTGGCTTCCCTTGGGGACACCTGGTCACCTGTGGCCTTTCAGCTTCATAATGCCTTCAAGGAGGGGATTGCATTTACGAACTGGAAATACTCCGGGAGAGCCTGAGTTGACGGGCCTCAGGGAGAAGTTCACAGCTGAGCGAGAGAAGGCGGGTGGGAGGGAGCAGGAGCTTCCCCCGCCTGGCAAGGGGGCATGTGTCCTTTCCCTGTTGTGGAGGGCTTGGGCACCTTACCTGGGCCACTGCAAAAAGAGGCGATGATGGCCAGGATGCAGACGATGCTCAGGTAGGGGACCCAGGGGGCTCGGTCCTGTCGGGAAGAGTGTGAGGGCAGGTGAGAGGTGGCAGCGTGTGCAGGACCCCTGCCCACCCAGCTCCCCCTTGCTTGTCAGCATGTCTCTGAATGCCATCTCAGTACCCACAAGGGAACCGAGCACTGCATCCACCCGCTGCACAGATGGCGGGAGAAGGGTGTAGAAGAGGGGGGATATGGAGACTGGAGCATCCCCACTGTTCTGGGTGTCCAGCAGGCATGGGGGACTAGTGGTCAAGGGAACTGACAGTGACTAGCATGGCGAGTGGCGTGTGGGACGAGAGGTTCTTACAGACATTCGGAATTCCTTATTGATTATCACTGTTGTATGTCTAACACCATGTTTCCACCCATGCCAGGCCAAGAAGCGTTGAGGGGGGGAGGGGACTCGTGTCAGTCAACGCACTGGGAGGTCCTGACTCGTCTGGCTGGGTGGTGAATGGCTTGGTGCTGGGTGTGGGAAAATATTTGCGAATTCGCTCCCACCCAGTCAACTGGACAGCTGGCCATGAAGAGAGAGGGAGCACGTGTCAGGAGATCCAGCTGCTCTGGATCCAGGCTGGGACATGTTGGGAGGGGAGGGGGCTCATTCAGAGACAGCCAAGAGGCAAAGAGAGGAAGCGAGTTCCTGAGGAGGTTTCTGCACCACAGAGACACAGAGCTGAGGGAGGACAGCTCAGGGGTGAGAGTAAACACTGAATGGAGGCAAGGGAGAGGGAGGGAATGGCCCTTCCTTGTTCCCTCCATGCACCCAACCCTCCATCCATGCACCCATCCATGCACCCATCCCTCTATCCAGGCACCCATTCCTCCATATATGTACTCATTCATCTATGCGTTTATCCATGCATATGTCCATCTACCACAGATACACCCATCCATCCATATATATGCCCATCCATTCATCCACTGATATGCCCATCAATCCACCATCCTTTCAACCATCTTCCTATCAAATCTATCCACCCGTCAATACTATTCATCTATTCATCCCATCAATCCATACATCCATGTATACATCCATTCATTATCCATCTATCAGCTCATTCATTTATCAAACACTCATGCATCCATGCATGTATCATTCCATCTCTTGTCAATTCATTCACAGACCCAGCCACTCATCACCCATCACTCATTTATCCACCATCCTTTAATCTGCCCATCCATCTATCCATGTGTCCATTCACCAATCTGCATTCATCTAGTTACTCACCCATTCATCATTCACTAATACAGTCATTTTTCCCTCACCCGTCTCTCCATGTGTCCATTCATCTATGCTTGCATACACCATCCATCCCTGTAATTCATCCATCCACCCACTCATCCATCTGTCCATCCACCAATCCATCCATCCATCCATCCATCCATCCATCCATCCACCAATCCATCCATCCATCCATCCATCCATCCATCCATCCATCCATCCAATAGTCCATCCATCCATCCACCAATCCATCCATCCATCCATCCATCCATCCATCCATCCATCCATCCACCCATCCATCCATCTGTCTGTCCATTCACCCACCCATTCACCCACACACCCTTCTATTCACTTGGCAGATTGTTCTGGTTGCTCCTGGATGCCATAAACCATCTGGGGAAGAGGGGCAACAGAATGGCAGAGGTGGTCTGACCAGGGAGACTAAGTGGCTTGCAGAGTATCCCTTGGCCAGGAGTGGGGCATCCCAGCTCCAGAGCCCTTTGGTACCCAGGAAGCAGTGATGTGGCAGCTGTGAGTCCTCTTGGGGCAGTGCCCTTCCCCCTGCTGCATCGTGAGGCCAGGAGGTCCTTAGCTCTCATCCATGAGTAAACTGGGGCTGGGAGAGGGGAAGTACCTTGCCCAAAGTCACAAAGCTCCTGAGAGGAATCCAGGACCCTGGTGTCCCCCTCGGCCACCCTATGAGGGCCCCCGGATTGTCCTCCTTGGGTCACCAGGCAGGATAGTGGACAATGCTAACCTCCCAGGAAGGCCTGCAGCAGGCACCCACCGATGCCCGAAATCAGCCACTGGGCCTGTCCCCACGTGACAGCCACTTCCTCTCACCTGCAGTGTCAGCGTGACCGTGAGGGTCCCAAAGAAGAGCGTCATCAGCCCAAAGCCACCGATGAGGAGGGGTCTACGTCCCAGGCGCTCGATGACCAGGCCCTGGGGACAGTCCAAAGAGACTCTTATGACCCCACTCTGGACAAGGGGAGCCCATGGTGGGATCCCGGTAAAAGGCCAGCTTGACCCTGGGCCAGAGACACCAGGATGTCTTGGGGGATGGAAGGACTGTACAGAGAAGGGCAAGAAAAATTCATTCACAGTGGGCCAGCCCTGCCCCTCCTCACTGTCTGCGCCCTCCCCCACATTGCCTCCTGGGGTCCCGTCTGCTGGGGATCTGTTAAGAACCCCATGGAAGTGGTGGGTGCAGCCTTGCTCACCTTGGATGCTGCTGGCCACTGGCCATGCACACCCCAGATTCTTCTGAGCCTTCCCCCAGACTTTCCAGGGCTAGGGACCAGAGGAGAAGGGGGTACAGCATGTCCGGCCTCCTCTGGGGCTGCACAGAGGAGGTGGGCACAGGCTGGCCCGGGGGCCCACCACAGGCGCCCTGCCCCTGGAAGCAGGGAGGGAGGGAGGCACAGTGTCGGCAGAGCCTGGCATCCTGCTCTTGCCTCAGAGGAGGCTGATGCTGAGCCAGGGCAGCTGCACTAAGGGTGATGCCCCCCCCAGCTTCGCATCCATGGCAGAATGGGAGGGGTGGGAAGACCCGCTGGACCAGTCAACGGCCCAGGCACCGGACCACAGTCCTGTGGACAGGGGTCTGGAGCCCCTGGAAGAATGCGGAGTTTTGGGGTTTGACAGATAGAGCCGGGGCAGCCGCTCCTAAGGATGACACCGGGGCAGGCAAGGCCAGTACTGCTCTGGAGGTTCCCACGGGGCACTGCCGTTAGGGAGAAGCCCAGGGTTACTCACGGAGAAGATGGCAGCCAGTGTCTCGATGCCCCCTGTGCTCAGGGTGATGTAGGGGATCTTCTCCGGGGGGATCCCCGCTTTTCCAAAGATGCTGTTGGTGTAGAACCAGATCTGTGATATGAGACAGAGGAAGGAGGATCAGTGGTGGGTGTCCACATCGCAGTTCAATTGGAGACTGAGGCCTGACACAGGTGGGATGGCGGACTCACCCTCTTGTCACCTGTCTCCCCTTCTCCATTATTCCTACTGCATTTCAGGGGGTTTTGGACCCTCTCTGGTGGTGCTCAGGGTCTGCTTCCAGCACAGAGGACCGTGAGGAACAGGGCTTGGAGCCAACGGTCCTGTGTGCACTCAGCCCACGGGGCTGTCTCCATCCCTGCCCCTTCCTCAGTACTGAGACAACTGGGTCATTGGGGTGACGTGTAGCCAATAAAGAGAAAAGATCTAAACAGAATTGTTGGGGGGACTTCTAGAAAGTCTCTGAGGAGATATAATTATTATTTTTTTCTGTGTTTTGTCTTCTGTGCTGATAGGATGGTGGATGTGATGGTGGGAACTTAAGCAACCCTTCTGGGTCACTAGGTGGTCTTAGGAGACCATTGCTGTTAACCCCCGGGTAACCCCTTGGCTCTTCACTGTCATCCTCTGGAAAGCTTTCATAATATGCCTACGGTGGGTGCCAGGTAAATGGGGCTCCTGAGAATTCTGCCTTGGGATGCAAACCACCCGCTCAGTCCTTGAGCAGGCAGCTGGGAGATGCTGCCTCCTTACTTTCTAGAGCGAGCCTGTGATGTAGCCTCTGACCCCGAGTGTGTGTGGGAGTGTCACTAACCCCTAGGGCCTAGGCAAAGTGCCTGTTGCTGCTCTTCCATCTTTGCAGCCATCCTGCAGGCTGCCCAGCCAGGGCTGCAGACGCTCAGAGCCCATGAGTCAGAACTCGCCACTGCTTGGAAGCCCAGCACTGGAGCTGTCCGTGAACACACTGTGGACCGAGTGCTCCAGAGCCAGGTTCCCACAGAGCTCAGAGGGGCCCGCTAACTGCTCCATGGGGCCTGCTGACTTCATGCTGGGCTGCTATGAGGAGCTGGCTGGACCCAGGGGCCTTAGGGGCCACCAAGACACTGCCAGTCAGGTGTGAGGACCCTCAGGGTTACACCCAGAGGTGCTTGGGGGCCTCCTGGAACCAGGGATCCAACCTGGGGCCTTGCATGTGTGAGGTGTGTCTCTGAGCCATAAGCTCCACCCGGGAGCAGGGGGATGGTTTCCACAGCTCAGATGCAGGTTTTGGGGGTGGGGCGGGGAATGGGGGGAGCCAGTGGCCACGCTTCCTGTTGAGTTTGACGTGGCCGTGAGGCAGATCAAGTTGCTGGCCCTGGGGTCTGTGCCAGGTAAAGCTAGCCAAACTGGAGGTATTTCTCCTGATTTAAACACTTAAAACCATCCTCAGCCTAGGAAGTTTAGAAAATTACCTCCCAGTGATTAAACCTATTTGATGGAGAAAGACAAAAATACAATCTGACGGAGTAGAATGGAGTCTGGCAGCAAACACATCCCTGCACAACACCGCAGAGCCAGGAGCACTCAGCAGGAGGAGATGTGACTGATAAATGGGCAGACTCCTCTGGAACAAGGACAATGAACCCCCCACAGCTCAAAATGGGTTGAGATGTTAATCTAGGAGATCCACAGAACATCTAAACTGCAGGGCTCTTAGAAAGAGTCTTTGAAATCTCTCAGGGTAAACTCTTCACAGTACTGGGCTTGGAAATGCTGAGAGACAAAAACAAAAGCAGATCCATGGGGCTACATCAAAACAAACTCTGCCCAGTAGGAGATGTAAGAAGAGCTCAAGGACCAACAGCATGGGAGAAAATATTAGGGAATAACATTGTTTGGTGTAACACCAAAAGCGTGAGCAACAAAAGCAAAAATAGGCAAATGGGGCTACATCAACAGAAAGGGACATCAGCCAGACGACAAGAACGAGCCACAGAATTGGAGAGAATATCAGTGAACTATCTGGAAGACATAAGAGCTGGCAATGAAGCTGCCAAACTAAAGCCGCATATGAGATACTGGAAACATTCTGGGAGCTTCTCCATCTTAAGAGGGAGCCCAAAGACAGGAGTAAGGACTGGAGACGACTTTTCTCCAGGTGGCATCTGCGGACACGCTAATGGCCAGCAGAAAAGACACTGCACCCCATGGGTCCCCCGGGACAGGCCCCCCGGGACAGGCAGAAGAACCTTGCGGAGAGATCGCCACCCATGGGTGGGGTGCAAATGGGACTGCGAGCCCGCGTTTCCCACTCAGGCCTTGCAGGGGGCCTGCGGGTCCGCATCCCTTGGGAGACCCAGTGTCTTGAGTGCTGGGGCATCGCTGCTTTCTCGGAGCCCAACCTTGACCTTGAAGCAGGGACAGCAGGTCCTGCCCAGGGCTGACCACAACCAGCCCTCTGCACCTTTAAGCAGCAAGGTAGAGAGAGAAAAGAAACAGTCTGGCCACATGCTTGATCGCTGGCGTTTCTGCACAGAAGATTTAGGGACTGAGACAAGGGCCAGATGATGCTCTGCTGCCACCTCTCCTCCCAGGACAGAAACTCCCCTCTGCCCCCCCCAACACCCACCTGCTGAGTTCTGGGGGTGCTGGGCCCTCACCCTGCTTGTGAAACAAACCCAGAGGAGCAAGTTTGTCTTGGAGAGGCTCCCTGCTCCCCACTCTGGCCCAGCCACGTTCTGAGTGACAAGGAACAGTGCCTCCAGCCAAGTAGCCACCAGGCAGCTGGGGGTTCGGCCCCGGGCAAGCCACCTGCAGTTTTCCCAAAGCACCAGCAAGGACCAGCCCCGCAGGCAGCCTCACGGCACCTCACATTTCCCCTCTTGACCTCCATGTGCCCCTGAGGGGTGGGTGGGTGGATCAGAGGAATTGGGGGTCCCCATGGAGGGCCCCCTGAAATCCCTGCCCCTCTCTGCTCAGTTTCCCCTTCACGAGGGAGACTGAGGCAGGAGAGTGCAGTGTTCTCTGGATGGCCGGGAGGGAGTCGGGGAGAAGCAGGCGCCTGAGAGGCCTCGCAGAGACACGTGGGTGAAGCACGCCTAGCCGGACCCTTCCTGAGTTCCGGTGCCCGTGTGACATACCTGAGTTCCAGTGCCCGTGTGACAAGGGCGCCAGGGAGAGGGCACCTGGTTTAGGAGCTGGCCTGGCACGTGACTGAACTGGCTTCTATCATCCCTGGCACCCCAGAGGGCCCCTGAGCCCCTTCGGGAGTGACCCCCGAGCACAGAGCCAGGATTCAACCCTGAACATGGCTGGGTGTGGCCCCCAAATCCAAACCAAGCCAGAGCATCAGAAGCAGCCCTTGTAAGCACTTTAGGAGTGAGTCACCGAGGCGACTCGTGTGATGGCGGGTGCATTCGACAGACAGGGAAATGGAGGCTGGCTGTGTTGGTGTGGGCCCGCCCTGCTCCTCTGCTGGGGGGCTGGAGGGGGGGGCTCACCGCGTTCAGGCCGCAGAGCTGGTAGCAGGCCATGGTTACCACCACGGTGAGCACCTGCCAGCGCTCGCCGGGACTCCGGAGAAGCTCCAGCACCGACACCAGGCGGAGGTTCCTCTGCACGCGGCTCTCGGCCAGCACCTCCTCCACCTCGAGGGACACGTCCTCCCTGCCCAGGAACGTCTGGAAGGCTGCGGATGGGATGGGCAGGGCTGTCAGCCGGGCGGGGATGGGAGGGAAGTGCGGGTCTGTGGTCTAGAGACCCCGTCAGCTCCGAGGCGCCCTGCACACATAAGTGACGCCTGGGCCTCGGGTCAGAGGTCATAGGTCAGGCCCACCCAGCAGTCAAATGTGTAACTGAGACAGCCTGAAGGAAACAGAGGCCAGTGGCCTGAATGGGCATGGAGATGCTGACCCTCCATCAGCGGCCCACAAAGGCCATGCCTGGACCCAATCTCGGAAGCAAACAGAATCCTCTGACGCAGGCTCGGTCCTCTGGAGAGAGAAGAGACATGAAGATGATCGGCTTGCATGGGGGTGGGGGGAGGGGGGGAATAAGGCTCAATCCCAGCACCTCCAAGGGTCCCCCGAGCACTGCCAGAAGTCATCCCTGACCACCTCTGGGTGTCACTGCCAATTTTCCTGTAAAATCCCCACAGAAAGAGCCTAACTCAATAGTCTTAGATTCAATTTCTCCCCAAGAGGGGAATTTATTCTCTTCTATTTTTCAGTCACCCCTGACTGAAAACCCGAACTGGATTCTCCTGCCCCCTGGCTCCAGACAGGAGTGACCTGTGAGTGGTGGTGGGTGCCTGACCCCAGAGTTCCTCAGCAGAGCTGCCCAGGATGCCAGATCAGCGCCTGGGCAGGGCTCCTGGTGTCCGTCCTAACCTACCCTGGAGTGCTTTCACCCACAAACATCCTGCTCAGAAATGGTCTCGAAGAACCAATCATTGTAGGATTCAAACTTCTGCTCGTGACCTACGAGGACTTTCCCAGGCCGAGTAAGGCAAACGTGTGGCCTAAGAGAAACTCTTTTATTATTTATTTGGATTTTTGTTTTTGGGCCACACTCTGCATTACCCCAACTCTGCACTCAGGATAATTCCTGGCGATTTTCAAGGACCATATAGGATACCGGAGATCAAACCCCAGTCCACCAAGTACAAGGCAAATGCCCTCTTCTTTTCACTCCCGTTCCTCTTTTCTTTTTCTTGCTTTCTTTTTTTTTTAAACCAATCTCTTCATTGTGTAGCCCTCTGCAAAGGTGGGCTGACTGATCAAAGCCCTGTGAGCATGATAATCAGCTCCTGGAAGTAAGGCTTTCAGGAAGCCAACTTAAGTATTCAGCGCTAATAGCCCTGCTCCTGCTGGGACAGGCCCCTCCTGGCTGGAGCTGGTTGGCACCACTGGGATGATGGACAATTATCCACTTGTGCCTTAGAACACATCATTCCACTTGCTCCACCTCCTCCAAGAGGCACAAGACATAGCTGTTCTTTCCAGGCTTGGAGCGAATCCCGCTTCTGAGTGTCTCCTTGGACACTGTCACGTGATTCCTTGCCCAGCATTGATTCAGGTGAGGTGGGGGAGGGGGTTTCACATGGAACCATAGTCCTGGCAACAATTCTTCAGCGTCCCAATGTAGCATTCCTGTGCAAAGGGGCAGGAGTTTTGGGACAGAGAAATAGCTCCTCTTCCTCACGGACACATATATTCTTCATGAGACAAAGTAAGAACTTCAGGACTTATATTCCCCCCCCCCCGCCCCGCCCTCGTTCTTCTGTCCTGTTTGGCTGCCACGTGGCTGCCCGGAAGCTCTCAGCAAAATCGCAGGCATGGCTCTTCATGAAGCTTCTCAGAAGACGAACCTTGATTCTTTCTCCTCCAAGGTTCCAAATGACTGCTCAAAGCAATTTCTTGCTTTATACGTTAGGTGAAGAAATTGTCTCTACATGGCTCTGCTCCCTTCTTGGATGATCTGGCGCTAGGTGAGGAAGAGTTTCTGAGTCTGAGCCAGGTTGTCACATAGTACAGGATTTCTGTCTTTTTTCAAGGCTGTATAATTTTCCCTTTGTGTGCATGTACATTTTTGGAATCTAAAGACCTATGCTTGGAGTATAACGTTTCACTCAAATGAGAGAAAGAATCTGGAGTTCCGACCTCCATCGATGGTCAAGAATCAGGGACGCTGTCTCGTTTGCCAAGGTGTCGAAAATCAGATGGGTTGGTCACATAACGAGATTTGGAGATGACCGCTGAACTAGAGCCATTACCGACTGGATTCCACAGGACATCAAAAGACCGTGTGGCCAGTCACCTACAAGATGGTCAGACTTCTTCGTCAAGACCCTGAATGATCGGTTTGAGGCTTCGTTTTCCTAGAACGAACAGACACCATTGGGCTACACTAGCATGCGACAGGGACGAATGGACATGTTACTGGTGCTCGCTCGAGCAAATTGATGAGTAACGGGAAGTCAAGTGATCACATGATCAAGTGCACATACAATTTTATTAGCCACGCCTCCGTCACAGGGCACTTAGGTTGCTTATGCATATCGGCTGTTGTTAAAGGGTGCTGTGAGCATTCGAGTGATGCTGCTTTCTCCAAGATCCTGATTTCAATTCTTCCTGCTCAAAATCCCGAGAGGGAAGTTAGGTCATGGGGCGCTTCTGGTTTTCATTTAGGGGAGGGGCCACTTGACGCTGTGGCAGTGCAGGGACCCCAGTCCTTCCCTGGCCTGTGGGTTCTGGAAAAATCCATCCTGACGCCGGGGAGTCAGGCCCCCCAGAGCCCCAAAGCTCAGCACTGAGGGGGCAGCTACTTCTGAAGACATAGTGTCTTCGCCTCACCCTGCTTCGTGGCGTTTCCACTTTCCAGATGAGGGCGCCGAGAGGCAGGGAGGCCAGGCCTGTGGCTTCAGGGGAGGCGCCAAGTGGGGGATACTGGGTGCCCTCCCACACAAGTGGTCATGTGGAGGAGATGCAGGGTGGCTCAGCAAACACTGCAGGGCCTCATGCAGACAGGCCTCGCCTGAGTGCCCTTTGAGTCTCACCCTGCTCCTCCCTTGAAGTGGGCACTCTCCAGCCCGGGCTGCGCCCTGTCAGAGCCTACCCTCACTTCACACAGGCCAAGAGGAGCTGCAGGAAGCTGAGTCTGGGCCTCTGTGGGACCACGGCTGCACTTTGGCACCCAGGGTGCTTGTGGCCTTGAGAAGGTGCCCACAGTGACATGCCTGAGGATTCCTGCTTCTGCCCTTGGGGGCCAGCTGCCTGAAAGCGCCCCTCCCCTATGAGGTTTCTGTGAAGAAGCTTCTGATCTTGGAAGGGGCCTCAGCTTCCGGGCACCAGCCCAGCTGGGTCACACACCCAAAAGATCCCAACTCAGCCTGTACCAAGAGCCTCTTGGCTCCTCGCTGGCTTGTGTCCCCAATGAGTTCCGCCACAGCCGGGTGTTCCCTTTATGCTTGAATCTTCTCCCTCAGGCCTGGTTCCATAGGAGACTTGGGCAGTGATTTCACTGGATAAAAGGGACAGCAAGACACACCCCGTCTCGGAGATCTGCCTCTGTGTCACCTCTGCGGGGAGAGCCTGAGGTCGAGATGAGGGGCCCCTCCCCGGGGACAGGGGGTGGCCCTCAGCTGCCCAGAGCAGGCAGCTGGGATGATGATGAAAGCCCTGTGCCCCGAGCTCAGCCCTGTAGGCAGTAGAGGCCCTTTCTCCGCTCCTCGCTGTGCCCCCAAGTCCCTGGGATCCCATTCCCCGTACCCAAAACCCCGTGCCCCCAGCCCCATGCCTCCCCACCCTCTAGGGCCCCAGTCCTGTCCCCCAGCCCCCAGGCCCTTTTCCCTGCCGCCCAGCTCCCTGCCCCATTCCCTGTCCCCTCAGCCCCCAGCCCGTGTCAGACCCCCAGCCCCGCCCTCGCCCCGCCCCCAGCCCTACCTTTCTCGGCTGCGGCCTGGTCGTGCCTCTCAAAGAGCAGGAAGCGGGGGCTCTCAGGCAGGAAGGGCAGCACGACCAGCTGAACCAGTGCGGGCACCATGATGACCCCAAACAGGAAGGGCCACGTACTCTCCTGGGGACAGATCGTGAGGGTTGGGGCGTCTGCACTGGGATGGGGGAGGCACCTGGCGGGGATGGGGTCCTGGGAAGGGGCATGATGGGGAGCTGCCGGGTGCCCCTTCCCACGGGCTGCTTGTCTTCCCCACAAAATGCATCCTCAGTTTGAAAAGGCGTGAGGAGAGCAGAGGAAACCTCATGGCAGCTGGGTGCGCTATGTGTAAAGCCCCAGGCAGAGCAGGGAACAGGGGCAGGGCCTTGGGGATGAGAATTTCCCAGAGGGAGAGGGAGTCTCTGCTGGTAACATCACGCCTGCTCTAGGGTGCACAACTCTGCATATTTCCAGAAGGTTCGTTAAGGCCATTTCCTTCTCTGCAATTTAGAGGTGTTAGAGCCAGGTCTTTCTGGAGTCCGCTGGATGTTGCAGCTTGAGAGCAAAGGACCACTAGTCCTGATGTAGGCAGGTAGATAGGGAGGGCCCCCTCCCGAGGCAAGGACAAAAGCCAGCCCTGCAGAAAATAGGAAAACAGGAACTAAGGCTTGATAAGACCCTCACCTGGCTCCAGCAACAGACCCAAAGAAGCTCCTCTAGGAACAAAAGGCCAGGAAAGGAATTTCAAAGAAGACCATCACCACACCCATCCTCCCTGGCAACCTCCTTAGCAACAGGACATTTACCTGGGAAGAAGCCCCACGTGGGGGCAGGTTGGAGGAACCCTATAAAGGCCACCTTGAACAAAGGAAGCACGCGCATTTGCTGCCCGAGCCCATGTGCTGCTTGTGCCCACGTGGCCGAGCACATGTGGTGCCCGAGCACATGTGTCGCCCGAGCACATGTGTCGCCCGCATCTCCCCTCTTGAGATGTGTACTTTCATGCTTTCGTGTCTAACTTTACTCTCTCACTCTCTCTCCCTCCCTCCATACCTAAAAATCCTCCAAATAAAATCTATTTACTTCACTGCTTGTCTACTCCTGAAATTCCTTTCTGCGAGGCGAGACAAGAACCCAGCAACCCTGGGTCCCGAGTGGCAGAGGTGGATGGGGAGAAAGTGACTGTCTTTCTCCTCCCCACTTCATATAAGTCACCCGTGGGGCCCACCGACATCAGATGGCGACCACGAAGGGACAGATGCAGTGAAGAAATCCATGAGGAAGGAGGTAATCTGTGGAAAATCTGCTGTGGAGGTATGCTCCCTTGGAAATCTCTAGGGGGAAGGGGGAGGAATGTGATAACCTCTGTGTGAATATGTGTGTGCATGAGCACCCTGATGGTCTCTGCAAAGAGGCACCCCTCCTTTGTTTGTCTTGGGTCATCCTCCACTATGGGAGGAATGGGAGGAAAGCCCAATAGTGTGAAGATTCTGGGAAACTAAAGCAGATCAATTTCCAGACAGAAAATTTCCCCAGTCTAACTAGAAAATCCTTTTCCCCAGCCTAACTAGAAAATCAGCTAGAGGTCATTTGAAATGCTAATGAAGGCAGTCCAGAGGTAAGGCAGAAAAGAAAAAAAAAGTGTAAAAGGCAGGTAAGAAGCCTGAGAAAAGCAGCGAGCCAGCAAAAGCAGGGAAGATGTAGCAAGCTAAGAAAAGGCAGAACTTTTTTCAAGGAGAAGAGTTTTAAGACCACAGCACTAGGTTAGGCTCGGGCACACAGCTGTGGGTCTGCCCGATGCCAGGTCCGCCCAGGGACGCCTGCGGTGGAAGCAGAGGCCATTGATGGAGATGGTCCAAATCCAGTGAGCCTCTGACAAAAGGCCAATTTAGTGGGGGGTTTGAGTCCCCTCGGCAGAGGCCAGGGTATACAGGGGGTTAGAGTCCCCTCAGGAGAAGCCAGAGTAAAGGGGTTCGAGTCCCCTTGGATAGACCTGAAGAAAAGTTTTGCCAAGGAACCATCTTTTTCATAGATTATTGCTTGCAATTAGGAAATATGGGAAATTCTACATCAGTACCTAAACATTCTCCTATGGGTTGCTTATTAAAACTCCGGAGGAGGGGGAAGGGCGTTGACCAGCCCGCCCGTTCCTCTCTGGAAAGAAAGATGGCGGCCGCACGGGAGCCTTGTGGAAGGCGGGTTTGAGCCGGGCTCGGGGGGGGGAGCAGCGGGGACCTCATGGGAAGGGGGGCTTTGTGGGCCGTCCCCCACGCCCCACCGGGGTCGCCAGCTGCCCCCCACGAGCGGCTCTCCGGCACGGCCACGACTCCAGGACACAGAAACCAATCTCTTAACTAGCTAACTTTTAATAGAAATTCTTCCAGGGTCAATAAGTAAAATAGCAGAAATTCAAAACCGCGCGGCCGCTATCGCGGCCGCGCGACATTATTCTTAAACCAAGTTGTAGAAAGCAAATCATTTCACAACGCTGTTTCAGCATGTCTGATGGGGGGGGGGTGGGTCGTAAACTCTTAACAATAATTGTGCATCTTCTATCGAAATAATCTATCTAGTCAAAGTGGATAGAGTATTAACTAGAACTCATCTACCTCACAAGAATTGGGAGGGGTGGGAGGTGGGGGTCTATTGGGGTTCGGGGTTAAAAATGAGTATTGGTAAAGGGAAATGTGTTCGGTATCTACATGACTGAGACCTGAACCCGAAAGCTCTGTAACTTTTCCCACAGTGATTCAATAAATAAATAAATTATAAAAAAAAAAAAAAAAAAAAAAAAACTCCGGAGGAGCCTGAAGCTAGAAAGCTTAAATAAGAAATGTCTTGTTGACCTCTGTAACACCACGTGGCCTGAGTATAAGTTAGAATATTGGGAAGGATATACAGTGAATGGCAGTTTGCATTACCAGATCATTTTGCAGTCAGATCTTTGCAGGTAACAAAAGAAATAGGATTATCAAAGCAGAAGAGGCATGAAAATGCAAGATTATGATACTAGCTCCCTACCTCAGAACTAGCCTTGACCAAAATATGGTAACATCTAACATCTGACCACCTTAGGTTTTAACATCTTTGTCATAGTTTATTTTGCCGGCTTATATCAACAAAAGCGCTTTCTTGACCCATTTTTAACAAACAGGAGACTGGCTGGTCAGGCTGGGAAACGGGGAGCACTGTTCCCAATCGGCCGACAGGGCTTCTTTGCCCTTGGGACTGCTTCTTCCTTTCTCAGTCCATCAGTTTTCTCCCTGCCATTTTTGAAGGATCAGATCGATCGATCAACTGCAGATGTGTGCACATGTACGTGTGGTGGTCTTTAGTCAGTTCACTGTCTGTCTGTCTGTCTGGAACACTCTGAAAGAATCCATATTAAGGCATCAAATTTTTGTGTACTTTAGCTAACTTGCAACACTGCTTTCTGTAAAACTGCTTGGCTGCTTTGCACCTGGGGGAGAGGGGACTTGGAAAGTGATTTACTGTCCCTGAAATGTATTGTCTCAGTAAAGCACCCTGCAGATTTGGGTAAAGGATAACTCAGGATGCGGGTGGTTGGGGGAAATTGCCCTTTCCTGGAATGTATTGTCTCACTAAAGCACCCTGCAGACTTGGGTAACTCAAAACAAGGATGGTCAAGGGAGATTACCTAAGGCTTAATGATTCCAGCTATAACCTTGCTTGTGCTGACAATCGATATACGTAAATGCTGATCTTTGAATCTATAGGCTAAGGAGTGAGGTACTTTTAAATGGATTGGTTAAGAAAGTATATGTTGTTACAAATCTATTGGCTATGAAATGCGCGGGCTTTGCTGTAACGGCCAGTGAAGGCCTATATAAGATCCCCTTTGAAGAAGTTCGGGGCTCTCAGCCACTGCCCGTTTTTGGGGTATGCTGCGGAGCCCCAGCATGCTGGTCTAAATAAACCCCGTTTTTACTCCTGCAGGAATTGTGTCTATCTGGTCTCTCCGCGCCTCCCAGGGCCAGGGAACTCCCGATCCCAACAACTCGAGTGCTGGAACCAAGTTGAACTCATAAGTACTAATTCTAGAGAAGTCAGTGAGTGATATGCAACCTAGGGATTTAAGAAGTGTAGTTGTTTCTGGAATTTGCTAGACAAGGTTTAAACGAAGATTTCTTATCAGAAAGTTACCTACAGAGAAAGCAGAATTCTCAATCTAAATTTCTTATTGGAAGAACATCAAAGGTTATTAACAGTTGTAATTCTTTTGAACTTAAGACTCTATACTGTCCAGGAAGAGCTGCGGAATTAGAACCTAAAACTAAAGTGAAACAAGAGTTCAGAGAAAGCAAGAACTTATCTTACAAGCCTCAGCTAACTTTTATGAAAAATTTGTAAGAGGCAGGTCCCTTTTCTCACAGAAACCTAGCAGTTCTTAGATATGCAGATCTAGCCAGGCCTGATCTTTTGGGATGTAGATTCCAAGCTCTAGCAGACTGGTCTTTGGGACTCAAGCCCAAGTGCTTGTAGCTTGTGAAAGTGCTTGTGAAAGGTTTCAGTTTGGTTTTGTATCTCTTTCCCCAGGCCAAAATTACTGGCCTGCAGATGTAAAGAAACAATGTACATTTTGCTGCCTCAAGGTTCTTTCTGTAACTCCTTTTGATGGCACCACTATATTGCAGAGGTACTATGATCTATATAAGGGAGATTTCAGGGCTCTCTGGGGGACACGTGGGTCAGAGAACTTGGGAAGATGGGGCTGAGGACAGAAGCTGAGAGAACAAAGGAGCACGTGCTTGAGAGATCCTGGGGCCTCCATGACATACATCTCTTCCATGTAATAAACTGCTGCTAAGACCAATTAGCTTGGCCTCGTTTGCTTCCTTCTCCTGCCCATCGCCATCCACCTCCCTGGAGTGGGGGAAACTACCTAACAGGGTCGGTGGGAAAGATGGATTGTTGCCATCCTTTTTGTGTTTACACAGCAATTCAAGTATTTTCTTATGGTAACATCAAAGTTTGGTAAAAATCCAAAGGGCTTTTTCTGCGTCTGAAAGCATGTTTGTATTCTTGTGGAATTGTTAAAAGTACCTGTTGTAGAAAGCTCATGATTTTAAATAAGGTACAAGAACTATTGAAATGAAGCCAAACGTTTTATCATGTTTTATATT